CCAGCGCGTGGGAGGCGCCCAAGGCAGGTGTCTCTGTGAGTCCAAATACCTCTTGGACTGTAGACCAACTCAATTGAATGACTGACTCGAGGATCACAATCTGGCCCAGACGTCTTCCACGTCTCTTCCTTTGTTTCCTGTGCAGCAGCCCGACCTAGACTCCATCCCCGATGCAGGGTACTTCAAAGGAACGAGTTCCAGCGGCTCTGCATCGAGCGTGAACGCGTCAAGCATCGTGGATGCGCTTTCCAAGTCGAGCAAGTTGCAGGAGGACAGTAGGCTCAGTCAGCAAGAGCTTGCCGATTGGCTCTCGCGCGATTGGAGCGTCAGCATTGCAGTCGATGATGGTAAGTATGCGCGTGCGTCAGATCGCAAGAGCTACCGATTCTGATCGCGGAACCATCAACCTTACTCTTCTATGGCAGCCTTGATCGGTGCTTCTCCTTTCCGGTCTTCGCTCGACGGATCTAGCGTGCCGCGACCTTTCGAAGGCGTGCGAGGGGGCGAAGCAGCGTCGGCCGTCCTGCCTGCCTCTGCAGAACAGCCACGCGGCGTGGGTGTGGACGACTTCCGCGCTGCGCTTGGAAGCCGCTCGTACGGCTCAGGTGGAGGAGGAGCCAGCATCGGTGGCAACAGAGCGACCAGCAGAAGCGGCAGCTCCGCTCCTCCGAGCGCAGCCAACAACCTCACCGGAAGCAACTCTTTGACGGGTCTCGGCAGCGCTGATGGCTCAGCAGCGGGTCGAGGCGCACTAGCGGAGAGGAGAACAAGTCGAAGAGTGAGCAGAAAGGAGCTTAATCCTGCCGCGGCCGGAAGAGACGTAGGCAAGATTCTGGACGGCTTGCACATTGGCACAGCGGACGAATCGCTCGAGGACGCTTACACTGTCAAGAGCAAAAAGGCGCACGATGGGGACACCACCAGGCTCGTCGCACCCGTCCTCTCGTGAAGTGCAGAAGCTGTCCCTCGCTGGTCATGTATACATTCACGCTTTCTTTCTTGTCCCTGCCCTGCTTTACTCGGCCACCACTCGCGTTGCTTGCGCTCGTGAAATCTTAATATCTTGTCTTGCGTCTCGCCATCTTGCTCTGCTTTGCAATTCCTGGACCGCCCATGCTATAGCTCAAACTCATCCAACCAAGAACCGCACAAAAACACGCCATGTGAACGCAGGACAACACGTAAATGAATTTGGTATCTTTGTGGGAGAGAGAGGGGTGGTGCGGGTAGAAGGGGGAGGGCAGTCGAGTGTCGCTGTATGACAGCATCGACGTTCAAAACAGATGGACAGATCAATGATTGTGGATTCTGAATGCGCAGAGAGACGAGAGGAAAAGAAGTCAAAAAGCAAGAGTGGTGGAGGTGAAAGAGTGTGTTGATGGACGTCGCTCGAGCATCAAGCGGCCAGACGATCCTTGGCAAACTTCGCTTCCTTTTCGAGCCTCTCAATCTCTTCTTTGAGCGCCGACACCTCTTCCGCTTCCTGCTGTGCAAAGCCAAGCTCCATCTTTGCCGAATGAAGCTCTTTAGAGCTCTTGTTGGCTACCTCCCTAGCTTCGAAAAGCTGCTGCTCCAGCGCCTTGAGCGTCTGACGATGCTGCGTCTCGATGATGGATAGCTTTTCATTGTGCGCCGCGTGAAGCTGGAATTTGTGCAGATTCAGACCAAAGGGGGAAAGAAAAGTCAGCGAGCGGAAAGACAAGTGCTGAGTCTGTGCATCGAAACGCACCTGCTCAAGATCGGACTGCAGAGCGCATGAGAGAGCTCAACTCAGCAAAGGGCTCTGTGTCATTGATGTCTCGGAGCACTGGTCATACAGCACTCACGGTACCCTCTGCGCTTGCAGCGGGAGCGGCAACACTTGGAACGTTGGCAGCGGCCTCTGCGACCTTGGCACGACTGTTTGCGTCTTGAGCCTCCCTTTCCGCTTGATTCAGCTTGTCTTGCAAATTCTGTCGTAGTGCGAGCGCGGTCAATTGCGCGAATCAAGGCCATGCGGCCATCACTCGCACTCACCATCAGGTTCTCGGCATCTTTTGTGTGCTTCTCGAGATGCTTCTTCAGCTCTTCTTGGTGCTGCTTGTGAATTTTCTCCACTTCCCTCGCATTTCTCTCTGCGCCATCTTGAGAGCTAAGTTGTTGGGCTTTGGAAAGCTCGTCCATCTGACTCGCATAGGCGTCCTGAGTCTCTTGCAAAGCCTTTTGGCTGTTCTTTACCTCTTCCTCCAACTCTTGGACCCGGTCGTGAGCTTGCTTCAATTCTGCAGCCGCAGCTGCTGCGCTGGCAGACTCTGCATCCGCAGACTTTGCAGCTTGCAGCGCTTCCTCCAAGGACTTGACCTTTGCGTCCGACGAGCTTTTCTCTTCGCCAAGGCGAGCAAGGTCAACTCTCACCTTCTTGAGGTCCTCTTGTGCAGCTTTGAGATCCAGCTTGAGCCTGTTGGACTCGCTGCCCGTGCTTCTCTCGGCCTCCCTTACAGCCTGAGCATGCTCTTCCTTCAGCCTGCTGATCTCACCCTCGTGTTGCTCGCGCAGCTGCTTGATCGTGCCTTCCGTGCGAGTCTTCAGCTCTCCCAAATCGACTCCGTGCGTCGTTCCAGCTTCAGCTCGAGCCTTTTCGAATGCTTCTGCAAGATTTTTGGTGTGTTCGGCTTGCGCCTCGGCCAGCTTGCCATCGTAGATGCTCTGCTGAGATTCGAGCTCCTTTCTCACACTGGCCAGCTCAGCCGCACTGGCCTCGGCAGCCTTTTCAGCTGCTTGACGATCACCATCTCGAGCTGCTTCGAGAGCAGACAATGCGCTTGTGTGAGCCTCGACAGCACTGGCGGTGCTCGCTTCGTGCTGTTTTCCGAGCGTCTCAAGCGCAGCAGCGTGGGAAGCCTCCAGTTCTTGACGCAGATTGCCTAGAGCACCCTCCTGAGCTGACGCATGAGTCTCGGTCTGCTCCTGAAGAGCTTTTGCGATCGCCGTTTCTTGCGCAGACGCATGCTCACTTCTGAGGTCTTCGATCGCTTTGGCGTGTCCAGCAGCGGTCTGCTCGCTCTCTCCATCTTTTTCCTTCTTGAACTTGGCAAGGACGACAGCGTGCTCGTCCTTGATGCTCGATAGCACGCTATCGTGCTCCGCTCGAAGCTTGTCAGCAGTAGAGCCGTGCGATGCGTTTGCCTCTTCCAGCTTCTTCTCAAGCCTCTCCACGTCCGACTTTAGCTTGCTGATCTCACCATCGTGCACGTCCCTTGCACCGCTTGCATTCTTGATCGCTTCGTCGAGCTGAGTCTGCAAGTCTTGAGCCTTCTGTTCGGCGAGATGATGGTCCTCTTGAAGTTTCTTGAGCTCGAGCTCAGCTTTGTGGGCTGCCTCCCGAGCTGCAGTAGCTGCACTTTGAGCTTCGGCAAGTGCAGCTTTGACAGCAGGATCCTCGGCTGGCGCGGCATTTTTCATCTCCTCAAGCTGACCTTCGAGCTCGGCGATACGTTGATTGAACGGCGTTGGGTCTTTGTGGGACGCCGAGGACTCTGCACTCAGTTCGAGCCGGGCGACTTGTGCCTCCAGCTCTTTGATCTTGTTCTCCGCGTCGGAGTCGTCCTTCTCGGCGGTCGTTGCACCCTCCACCTTGGCTTGCAAGGCGCTGAGTTCGGCATCCTTTTCGCGAACTTGAGCATCCTTGGCTTCCAATTCAGATCGCAAGCTGTCGATCGTCTCGTTGGTCTCGCTCAGCTCCGACTCTAGCTTGCTGATCTTTTCCTTGACCTCGGTCGGAGTCAGAGCCTTTTTGGCTGCAACGCCGGCCGAAGCAGAGCTTGGGGTGATGCTGCTGCGCGCAGCCGTGGCTGTGGGGCGCGCACCCGCGACGCTAGGACGAGCAGATGCAGTGGTGCTGGCACTGGCCGTGCTAAGTCTGCGAGCAGCAGTCCCACTGCCAGCTACAGGAGGTCGGGATGCAGTAGTCGTTGCGGTGGCGCCTGCAGGACGAACGACGCCTGGACGTGCAGCGCTGGCAGTAGTTCCCGCCGCTGGTTTCTTTACTGGTGTGGTGGTGGTGGTGCTGGATGGGGTGCCAACAGGCTTTCGAGCCGTCGCAGTAGCGCTGCCAGGTGCCGGTCTAGCAGGTGCCGTCGCTGCGGAAGGGCGCGTAGCAGTAGCTGCACCTGCGGGCCTGGCGTTGGTACTGGAAGCGAGGGAAGAGCGTGCGCTGGCGGCGGGAGGCCTGGCAGCGCCAGTCGTGGCTGCAGGACGAGCAGCACCCGGCCCGACAGAAGATCTCAAACCGCCCGTTGCGGTGCCAGCAGCGCTGCTTCGGGCAGCAGCACCAGTCGTGCCCGCTGGACGAGCCGTTGAGGCGGCTGCGCCCGGACGTGTAGTTGCTGCGGCAGGGCGAGCAGCGGAGGCAGTAGTGGTGCCAGGCTTTGCGACAGTCTGCCAGTGGATTGAAGAATGATTTGCAATCCAGTCAGATGAGATGTGCTAGCCGTCAAGCGCGCAACGCGAAAGTGCGCGCGAGACTTGTTCGCACTCACCTTGACGCCTGCAGTCACGCTTGCTCGAGGCTTGGCAGCAGCAGCAGCGGTGGTAGTGCCGGCAACGGTCTTCTTGACTGGAGCAGTCGGCTTGGTGGTTGTTTGCTCCGCCGCCGCCGCCGCCGCCGCCTCGCCATTCTCCTTGGACTGCATTTCTTCCTCTGGCTGACCGTTGGGTTGCTCATTGGGCGCATCGCCTTGATCCCTTTGGTCTTGATGCTCATCGTCCTCATCAGGCACCGAAGTCAATCCGCTATCCTCTCCGATGCCGATGCCATTCTCTCCATCTTTGGCCACGTTTTCGGTCTCGTCGGCAGAGTTGGAGAGGTCTAGCTGAGGGGAAGCTTCCTCTTGAGAATCATCTTCGGCAGCATTGGAGCCGTGGTCGATGATGGACTGGTTGGCCACCTCTGCGTCCGACATGTTGCAAGTGTAGGTGTGTAGGTGTGTGCGTATATGCGTGCGTGTGTATGCGTGCGCTGATGATGGATGACCTTTGTTGGGAAGTGTGATGGTGAAGGAAGGCCGAAGGAGGAAGCGGCGCGGGACAGCAAGCGAGCGGGCTTAATTGCTGAGCCTGTCACTTGACTGTGCACCTCTCTCACACTCGCTCGATCGTGACTCTTAATTGATGGCAGTCACAGTCACAGTCCCGCGGCCGTGCACGCCGTACACACAACAACAGCCGCCCAGCCACTTTAAAGCGCACATACGACTCCCAACACTCATCACTCACCACTCACGACTCGCGTCTCGTGGCAGGCAGCTAGAAGACTAGCGCCCTCTCATCCTGTTGTGCATGTGAAGATCGAGCGCCCCAGCAGGCCGTGTTGCTCTCCCCGCTGCCCATGCAGCAGCTGCAGCACCATCACGCACTTCAACACCCAGTCGTGAGTCACCAGTGTGTGATGAGTGTCCGGCCGTGCGGCTGCAGCTAGCGCTGCTGTATGCATGCGTGCATGCGTGCATGCGTGCATACGCGCATATTCGACATGTACCGGTATGCCTCGCAAGCGCCGCTTTGCGATCAACACTCACGTGACTCTGACTCGTGACTCCTTGATTCAAGATTTCTACTTTTGACTTTGACTCACGGCTCGCTCACGATTCACGATTGCGCATCCAAAGGCAGGCAGGCAGGCAGGCAGGCAGGCAGGCGCACGCACCTACACCTACACCTACACCTACACCTACACCTACACCTACACCTACACCTACACCTACACCTACATCACCAATCACGGCTTACATCCCAGCTGCCATGGCGCCCTTCGCATGGAAAGCCGAGCCTGCGTATGTAACCCGTTGGGTATACCATCTGACGTGGAGTGGCAATCCACAAGCATTTGACGGCAGGTTCCAGCAGCTCGCGCGAGACACGACATTCGACTCGCCCAGCGCTTACCGGCTCTACCGCCGCGATGAGGAGGAGGAGTACTTGGCTGTCAGCGAACTCCCACTGTCGGAGCAGGGGAGCGAAAGGGAAGGGATGGAGCAAGTGCTGGATAGGCGATGTGTCCAGCGATTTCACGCAAAATTTGCATTTGCCAAGGTCGACGCGAGCGACTCTCAAGTC